CGTTGTACAACCAGTTGGAAGTGATGGGAGAAGGACTAAAGGACAGAGTGTTTATGGCGTTGATTCTCTGAAGCCTTCCGATGTCGTACGGTAGCCTCATCAACGTGATTGAGAGCCGACCAGAGGTGGAAGTGAAGAAAGAAGTCATTTGCCATCATTGTCACCAACCCGGACATTTTCGGCGCGTCGAGAAGAACGATGCTGGAAAAGCGAACATAGCGGCAGAAGTTTCTAGTGGTGTGATGGAAATGTGTCTGGTGGTTGCGACTCCGTGTGATGCTGGAAAGTGGTATTTGGATTCCGGAGCGACGTCGCACATGACGAGTGACGTGAACATGTTGAACAATGTGGACCGTAGTAAAAGTGTTGAGATCTGTTTGGCCGATGGTACACGCATCAGGTCCGGTGGTTCTGGAACCGGAAAAGTTGTGTCGCTAACTGGAAGTGGAATCCGGATGAACGTCACGCTCAACGATGTGTACCATGTGCCTTCCCTCGCAGGTAATTTACTGTCCGTAGGTAAGATTTGCGATCTTGGATACAGTGTCGTATTCGAGCAGTCTGGTTGTCGAGAGGAATGGAGGGTTATATCGGTTGAAACAGTTTTCAAAGCAAGCATTGGCGACCACTATGAAGCATCCTGAATTGTGTGAGCATTTGTGGCATCGTAGGCTGGATCATCGCGATCCGCAGGCTATTGCGAAGATAGTGCGACACGATTTGGGTTTCGGCCTGAAATTGCAAAAGTGTACTGTAGATTGCGTATGTGGAGTTTGCTTGAAAGGGAAGATGTGTCGGATTTCGTTTCCGAAGCAGTCCCAGAGCAAGTCATCAGCGGTTGGAGATCTGGTGCACTCGGACGTTGGTGGTCCGATGGAAGTTGCCACACCCAGCGGCAACCGATTCTACGTTACTATGGTGGATGATTTCAGCGGTTACACTGTAGTGTACCTGTTGAAGGCGAAGTCAGAAGTGGATTCGAAAGTGCGCGAATATTGCAGTATGGTGCAGAACCAGTTCGGACGTTTTCCTCGGGTGATCCGCACGGATGGAGGAGGAGAATACTCAAGTACGTCGTTCAAGAAGTTTCTTGCTGAGAAAGGCATCATTCTGCAGCAAACGGCACCCTATTCGCCGCAGCAGAACGGCAAAGCGGAGAGGAAGAACCGGTATGCGGTCGAAATGGTCCGGTGTTTGCTTCGGTGTTTGGCAGGATTATCGAAGAAGTACTGGGGTGAAGCGTTGAACACGGCGAACTACCTGCAGAATCGTCTTCCGTCGTCTGTCATTGAGAGAGACGCCGGATGAACTGTGGCATTGGATGAGGTCATCGAAGGGCGTAGCACCACGTCACCTGATAGAAGAGATTTTCGTGGCAAGCACGCTTCCCCTAGAGGAGGAGATGGAGCCGAGAACGCTTCAGGAAGCTTTGAGCTGTGGGAAGAGTGCTGCTGGAGAAGCTATTAAGTATAAGGCTCGTTTGGTCGCCCAAGGTTTTTGTCAAAAGTATGGTCAAGACTATGACGAGGTCTTCGCACCTGTTATAAAGCAGACCACTTTGCGGACGCTTCTGGCGATCGGGACCAAACGGAGCTTGGTACTTAAGCATTTTGATGTGAAGACTGCGTATCTAAGGTAAGGAGAAGCAAGTGTGCAAGTTGAAAAGGAGTATTTACGGGCTGAAACAGTCGGCTCGTTGCTGGAATCACCGTCTGCAAGCCGTTCTCGAAGTCCTGAATTTTAAGCAAAGCCAGGCTGATCCGTGTCTTTACACGAAGGTTGTAAACGGAAAGCGCGTAACTATACTTGCTTGTCTATGTCGACGATATTTTGATCGGCTGCGAAAGCGAGACGGAGATCGAAACGATCTGTGCGGCCCTGAGTAAGGAGTTCGAGATGACCAACCTAGGAGATGTGAACTATTTCCTGGGGATGGAAATCAAGAAGGAAGATGGTAAGTACGGCATTTCGCTGGAAAACTACATAGACCGAGTTGCTGAAAGATTTGGCCTCGGGAACGCCAAGAGTGCGAAAACCCCGATGGAGGATGGATTCGTCAAAACCAGGGAGGACAGTCCTCTACTCGAAACAAACACGCAATATCGGAGTCTAGTCGGGACACTGTTGTACATCGCAGTCTGCGCGAGACCGGACATCGCTGCTAGTGTGTCCATTTTGGGGAAACCGATTGGGTAGCGGCTAAACGGGTAGTTCGCTACCTGAAAAGTACAAAGAAGTGGCAGTTGAAATACGGAGATCCTGACGGCAAGTTGATTGGATACTCAGATGCGGACTGGACGGGTGACTTGAAAACTCGAAAGTCGACGACCGGCATCGTTTTCATGTTAGCAGGAGGAGCCATTTCGTGGACAAGCCGTCTGCAGAATTTCGTCACATTGTCTTCGATGGAATCGGAATACGTGGCGTTGAGTGACGCGAGCCAAGAGGCTGTTTGGCTTCTGAATTTGTTCGACGACTTCGGTGAACCGTCCTTCAAGCCAGTGACGCTGTGGGAAGACAACCAGAGCTGCATTAAGTTCATTGTTTCGGAACGGACGACCAAGCGATCGAGACACATTGAGACTCGGCAGTGTTTCGTCAAGGAGTTGTGCGATGCAAAGGTACTGGAACTGTTGTATTGCTCAACCGAAGAAATGGCTGCGGATATACTTACCAAGGCGCTTGGACAGGTGAAGCTTCGGAAGTTCTCTGCTATGCTGGGATTGACCGGCGGAGATCGTTGAGGAGGAGTATTGGTAGGAGCAACGATCGAGATGCTCTTACCATCAGAGCTGTGCTGTCAAGAATGAAACTTTCTACCTACACCGACAGCACCGCCTACCTTGTTTTTTCTCAGGGGGAACGACACTCATTTGGATGATTTTTTTCAGTCTAGTAATTACTTGGGATATCCGGGGAAAACATAATTGATGGGATTTTTTTGAGTGTGTCATGTTGACGAAAATAGAGCAGGGATAGAAAAAGTAGATGGAAATAGATCTGGGAATGGATGTGATATGAGGGGTGTTAAAAAGTTTTAGAGGGATACGAGTCTGAACGCGAAGAGGATAGGTGTAAAAAGAAGATAAAAATTTGCTAGAAGGCAGCGTCCATAAATTACGTAACGCTTATAGGGGAGAGGAGGTCACCTATATTGTTACGAATTATTATATAGGGAGTAATGATTGTAAAGTTTGAAAATACAGGTAAAAAAATGTTATCACTAAATCTTGCTTGCAAAATGTATATGTTTTAATTTTATATCTTGAGATTTTTCGCTATTCTTAAACTTTTGAAAAGCAGATACGCTGATCTTACGTTTTTAGTTTGAAAATTAATAATATCAGTACCAACATTTCAAAGGGTTATTTCTAGGTAATTATATCAGTGCCAACATTTTAAAGGGGCGTAATTGCTTTTGTAAACAATGGCTTTAGCCGTCAATTTCTCGCAACCAAAAGCTCACCCCTTGAAAATAGCAGTGCTAGATGGTAGTTTTTATTCGCGAGAAATTGTTTACAAAATAAATTACGCCCCTTTGAAATGTTGGCACTGATATAATTACCTAGAAATAAAAAAAAACACAACGAAATCAAAAATTAATTAAATGGTGGCTTTTAGAGCGTCATGGAATAAATAGAGGGGGATCGTTTTAAGTGTTACGTTTTGCTCCAAATGGGGGGGAGGGGTCGAAAGTATTTATTTTTAGCGTAACGTAATTCATGGTCACCGCCCAACAATATTAACCAAAGCTCACAGCTCAAGGGCAGAAAACGGTTCCGTACTGAATATGTCGAAACTGTACTGTAGGAGGAACGGGTGGTGGCGATGGATCATTAGCTTCCGGTTAATATTCCCAGCTGTATTTGGACGGGAATTTGATATTTGATTCGCAATATTCTCGAACAGAAACTTCATCAGCCGGTGAGTGTCTTCCTTCGCCATTAGATCTTTCTTCTCCGAACCCTTGACCAACAGCAGCGACGAGTACAACTTGGGCCGAGTGGTAAAATTGACCTGAATTCCTTTTCCACCTGTTTGTCGTAGGGGGTTTCATTGGTGATGCTTTTCCCAGGCCTAGAATCAGCAGTTCGAATGAAATCAACAGTTGCTTCGTGCCTGTTCCGCAACTTCCATGCTACAACAAAGAGACACCTGGGCTCTTATCCGTCGAGTTCGATCGGTTTGAGTCTGGGAAATGGATGTGCGTTTCCGTCTTTTCCGTGATGCACTGTTTTTGCCCCCGCGACCGATTATGGCCAACTGGACATACGTGGTGTTTGTTGTGGAGATTGTTGAAAGCTGACAGTAACTGGCAGAGTGCTTCGCGGTCTACCTGAAAACTTCGAAAAACTGCATGGCTTGCTTGACAATTGGTGTGCATGCAGAAGGGATAAGTTGGGAATTGAAAGAATAGATAGGATGGATTGAAATTTTGTGCACGTTGAAAATTTTATGAGAGGTTTGGGTAAAAATGGGATAATCCTGAAGTGTCATTCCCCCTGTTTTTTTCTACATTCGTAAAAGCACCATTCAAGTGAGAGCATTGTTGTTGCTAATCCTTAATTAATAAAGTTTTTAATTAACTACAGTAATTCCTCGGATACTTATTTCCACTGAATATATCACGGCCCAATAATAATGCGGTACCGGAAACAGCGGCGTTGTCACTTGAATATCAGCCATCAATTCGGTCAACCATATTGTCTCACTTACGCAGGAGCTCATGGCAACATACTCGGCTTCTGTAGAAGAAGACATTGCAACTGTAGTCTGCTTCTTGGAGGATCAGGCGACAATGTTTCGTTGAATCTTCAGCAAAAACCCGGAAACACATTTGCGGTCGGTTTCGTCACTGGTAAAATCGGTGTCCAAATAGGCGGCTATTGGTGGTTCTGTTGGCTTATTTCTGTAGACTAATTCCATCTCTTTCGTATTTTGCAGGTATCGTAAGACTCGTTTAGCATCCTTCCAATGCTCTTCACCAGCAGTGAATGACAATGACAAAGCACAAGTCCAGTTGGGAGCCCATCGTGAGGCTTCCGATGAGTTCACGGTAGGGAAACTCACATCTTCTAGTTGCTCACCGCAACTGCAGCTTCAGTTCAGCTGGCGTTTTAGCAGGATTACAGTTCTCCATTCCAAAACGAGCAATAACCCTCTCGATCTGACCCTTCTGGGATAGCTTCCTGTCTATTTTGATTCTCTAAGAAAATAGTGGATCTTCTTCATGTCCGTCATCTCGAATGTCTTCATCAGGTTGTGTTTTTACATTATTGATGGCCGCCTCCGTTTTAGCAGCAATGAGAAGATCATCTATGTATACTACGATGTAGATAGTGTCATTTCCTTGGGCGTGGTGTACAAACAGTAGTCATGCTGCGACCGATCGAATCCCAAGGTAAGGTTAGGTAATCGTTGAAATGACTGTTCCAGCACCTTGGTGACTGCTTCAGACCATAAAAAAAAACCGCTGCAGCAAGCACACCTCGTCAAGGCGTAGCCTTACCCCCTCTCTCTCTCAAAATTTTGCCCAACTAGATGGATCTATTGTGAAACGCCCAGTTACTACCCGTCCCTCCAATTTTCACCATCCAAAATTGATTCCTTTGTTACAACAAAGTTACAACACTGTTACATGGCACAAAACTATCTCCGATCATCTCCTCCGGTGGGACATTCTATTCCATAATCCGCATTGGCATGTCATTATACCCCCTACACCATAGTTCCGACTATTAGTGGCAAACAATGGAATCCACCGCGACCTCTTCCAACCATCCAAACCAACCAACCGGACAGTTAGCGCTCGATTCGCGCGATTGCGGCCGGATCCGATAAAAGCGGAGTAATTAATTTGATGGCGTGCCCAATTGCGCATGATTTATATGCAGTTTCCGAAATGGTCCTGTCTGATCTGCCCGGCTTTTCAAAATGATATCAAAGGCAGGCCCTCTCCGTCCTTCGGTTAGTGTGTAGGTTTGCGGAGACGGGCGACGGTGCAGGAGAGATTGAAATTTATCGGAAAACTAATTTAATTGATGGCTTTGGCCCGGTTTTGCTCCAGCGATGGCACTGATGATGATGATGGTGATGGTCGATCCGGATGGGAACTTTGCAAGCGTGAATTGAACTAATTTCGAACTGTGACAAAATTCGAGACATGTACTTTTCGGAGATGACCTAGGGATTTTTTGTTCCCCTCACCGAAGACGGGGAACGCTCAACAGTTCGGAAATTGTCACGTACGAAAGCGTTTCCCAGCCCTTCGATGACACCCCCCCTCCCCCTCCTTATTGACTGTATCAGACGTGTCACCGGACGGAAAATGAAAAGGAATTTAATTGTGAGGCGTCTGTGTCCTTGCGACTTCCTTCTGGACGAAAATGGTGGCCGAATGAATTTGCTGGAGAATGTCTAGAAATTATATTTTGGACGTAGGAAGATTTGAGGACATTTGAACTTCTGAGAAGACATTCCATCTGCATTTGATAGATCTAACATGTTCATGTCCCATTCGCATTTCCCCCACAGCCCAAAACACGACTCAAGACTATTTTTCCCACATTCGCAACGCCATCCGAAATGAAGAATAATAAGCAAAGCTCGAAGACCACCGGCCGGAGGACGAAAACCGAAGTATATAGAATCGGTACGTGACAACTTTCTTTGATTGACTGAATTCGATTTGGAAGAGTCCCACCCCACACAGCACCGATCTGCCGTACGCTCTCTATACTACTATACGTTTGTCCGTTCCGTTCGTTTGATTCGCCGGCCCAGGTGATCGATGGTGCGATAATAATCCGTAATTGAAAGGCGAACATCGGCGCTATTTGGGGATCTACGGCGAAAGACTGTCTCCTGTCCTGTCTGCCGTCGTCTTTTCCCTTCCAGGTGGTAAATAGATGGAACGGACTGAATGGAATCTTAACTCAAGTCAGCACGCACGTGGCAGAGGGCAGTGTAGCAAATTGGAGCAAAATCAGCGGGAGCGAAAACAGGAACTGAGGCAATGAAAAGAAATCCAATTCTGATTAGGTTTAATGATAGCATTCCATATGCGACATCCAGCAGCAGTGTGACGAAATTACGAGGGGAGAAGTAAAAGCGACGCTGCCACCAATTTGCGGTCCGATTGGTGGAATATTGATTCATTACAAGCGATGAGAGATTGAAGAATAAATTTCGGGATCAGCTTGTGGAAAATGAAATGTAAGGCTCAATCGCAGGAACTTGACGGAGCCGAGTTTATTTTGATTTAACTTTAGCTCTAAGTCTTGCACGAGTGGGACCAAGACTCGCAGTTTTCTCGAGGTTTTTAATACTTTCTGATGTTTCTAGATTCTTTTCCAGGTTTTTCTTCTTCTGGAGTCTTCTGGAATTTTCTTGATCCTTTTTGGTTATTCCTGAATTCTTCCTGTTTCTTCTAATTCCTTCTTCCCGAGTAGCACGCATTCGTCATAAATAATTGCTTGATTGTGACTGAACTCAGTCTCATAGAAGTTACCTCTACCGATTTGTGGCAAGTGTGCTATTATTATGATTATTATTCAGTTCGCAACTCTTGTCGATGGAAGCAGCAGAAGTTGTATCTCGTGGTGTCGATCAATTGGTATACTCGATACAAGCAATTATTTCGGTGCGCTTTGTTCATTCTGCAGCCGGTCGCAACGGAAACGATGGCTAAAATGAGTGACAAAGAAATAAAGAATACGATCAAATTCAGCTTCGCCAATGTAAGTGCGAAATTCACCATGGGCGAAATTTCCAAACTCACGAAAGCACCGGATGCGAATCCCGTTCACATGGAAGCAACTTACCGGATTGCGGAGAGGAAAGTATTTCTCATAAAGTACAACTTTGAAGAATCATTGCTACTGGGTACATTCGTGCTGGGAAAAAACGGGAATGTAAAGCGTGTCATGCGTAAAAAATGAGATCCCTTCTTCTTCTTCTTCTTCTTCTTCTTCTTCTTCTTCGCATTTCAAGCTTATTGCATATCGCATATTAGCTTATTACGTGCTCTCAACTTAGTGTTCTAGATGCACTTCCACAGTTATTAATTGAGAGCTTTCGATGCCTGTACCATTTTTGCATTGGTATAATTGTGTGGCAAGTCCAATCATACTTCTATGCCCAGGGAGGTCGAGAAATTTTCGAACCCGAAAAATTCCTATGTAGCTGCGCCTTCCTTTGTAGCTGCGCCTTTACCAACTGAGCAAAGGGAGGTCCCCTCCCCACTTAATTTCCTCAATCAAAATCGGATTATATTTTATGACGGGAATAAAAATAAATGCTTCTCATGCAAGACGGAGGGGCACTGGATGAATTTCTGTCCCAAGTGCCAAGCAGCCGGACAAGGAAGCAGTCTAAAGAAAAGCAAGGCCTGGATAATAAACAAAGCGCTGAGAGCTCGGATATCAGTACATACCCAGCTGTAGCGGCTGGAGGTCCATCATTGGACAGAAAAAGCAAAAGACTGATAAAGCAAATGAATACGAAGCTCAGCAGCCACTGAACTTCTACCAGCAACGGCAGACATGGTTTGCGGATTTGGCAAGATAGAATTAAGATCACACAAAATAGAATCATGAACTCAATTTTAAAATTGTTAGGCCCTCGGTACCGTAGAGCTTTTTAAGACAGTGACATAAAAAAAGGAATAATTGGGTTCTTTAATTTGGAAAAATATATCGGTTTTTATATTTCATCTGAAAGAGCTTCATTTTCTGAGCACAGCGATATTTTTTTTGAACCCACATACTTTTATCTCGATTTTTAAATCAAGATCTAAAGCAAAATAATAACTTCACTGTTTAACACTAAACTGACAGCTCGCTCCCATACAAAGTGACACCGAGGGGCGGTAATAAGGTGATTTTTCCAATTGTAATCGTTCTTATTTAAAATAGTTCCAGTGTACCAAAATTGATGAAATTTTAGGTTTGGATTCCATTTCTAATGCAGATTACGAATATACATTAACTTCAATGCCCTTAAAGAACCCAAATACACCCGGAAATGGGAGTGAACATATGAAGACCAACAATTGAAATGGCCTCAACTCCATTTTGTAAACAAACCTTGTAAGGCCATTTTGTCGGAAACCGAAACCTACATTCGTAATCCTAAACCACAATCGGATAGAGGAGAATTTCCCCTACCTGTTCATTCTGTTGTTTTTCCTTGGCGGACTTTCGCGAGAAAATGCCCTTACAAGGTTTTTTTACAAAAAGGAGTTGAGGCCTTTTCAATTGTTGGTCTTGATATTTGACGTTTTTCTTACCGACCCTAGTATTCTTTGGTACAAGTGATGTAAATATTTACCTTGTTTGGCAAAACCCATCCTTGAACGGGAATTGAACGTGTAAACCATGCCATTCAACTGACTTGATCAACTCACTTAAATTGAAAAATGTTGAACCAGGCTCAACTTTTCAAGCCAATTGAATTCAACTGAGTTGATCATTTGACTTGCCTAGTCTAAACCCAGCATTAGAGTTTGGAACACCGACGCGATCGAAGTCATTTTACATAAATTAATTTAGAAGAAATCAGTGTTGACTCGGTTGTCGACAAAAGCAGGCCACTCTCGATGTGTGCCACGCGAACGTCTGCAGCAACCATTGTGTGGTCCTCCTCATTGTTCTTCATCAGCAGTTCTTTAGGTGGATGCGTCGTCTACTTTGTAAATCAACCGTTTCGTGATGAGTGTGTGAGTGCTGACCACGTTTTGCGTCCATTGCTGCAATGGACGTGCTCTGACCCTCGTTGGCGTAACTGCCATACAATGAAACTACTGGAAGCATCTCCAGTTCTGATGGAGGAGGCTTTTTGGATAGCGGAAGGTAAAGTTTTTATTGTGTTGTACCTTTTGACTATAGTTTTAAGATGTCTTGTATAGTGACCAAGAATCCTCGGCTCTGTAAAGTTAATTCATTTAAGCCTTATCAAATAAATTAACAAACAAAAAAAGTTGGAGGAAATAGAAGTAGTAATGAGTATCTGATCCGATAAATTCCGTTGGTTAAGTGTTCCGCCATGTTGTATTCG